TTTTTTTTTTTGCCTTTGTTTTCACTCTGGCTGCTTTTGGTTTCTAGGGCACCAGAGATCTTAGTCCCCAGCAGATGGTTGTGAGGGAGAAAATTCTTGATATGGTTGTGAGCTGCTTTAAACGTCATGGAGCAAAAGGTTTGGATACCCCAGCATTTGAGCTAAAGGTAAGAGGAGAAAAAAGAGTAATGGAATCTCATATTTTTCATCTGCCTTCAGTTTTCCAAAGGGCTTCTAGCCTGTGTTCTGGAGTCCTCCTTTGAACTGTGGCACTTTCTGTCTGACCCCTGCAGGAAATGCTCACTGAGAAGTATGGAGAGGACTCTGGGCTCATTTATGATCTAAAGGATCAGGGTGGAGAGCTATTGTCCCTGCGCTATGACCTTACTGTATCCTTCTGAGTGCTGGAGGCTGACTTGTTTCTTTCCAAACCCAGAGGGGTTTGACAAAAGGGACAAGAGTGACTCTGGGACTGTATAGGTCTATTGGCAGCAGCCTTTATTCCCAGTTTCTCCCAGAAGGCAATTCTGCCAGCAGAGCCTGGCCTGGAGCACTATCATTTAACTTTAATGTGTATCACAGTCCCTTGGGAAAACTTGCAGAAACACAGATTTCTGGCCTTTAGCCCCAGATATTCCTAATTTTATAGCTGGAGTGGGGTTCAGCAGTCTGCATTTCAAGCAGGAACCTGGGTAATGAAAGATGCAGGTGGTCCTTGAGCTACACTTTAAGAAACATTGACATAGAAGTTGTAGGTAAATTGAGGTTGTAAAGCTTGACTATTTTGAGATGGTTGAGAACTGATTCAAATGGGAGGGAACGGCCCAGACTTGAAGTCCTTGGGTCATTTCTATCTCTGCTTCCCTTGCTTTCTATTGAACTTGCAGTAGAAAGTGGGATTCCGTCGTTTGACAATATTCAATATATATTGAATGCCAGGTATTACTAGCCTGAATGCCAAGTACTGCTAGGCCTTGGGGATTGTGGGAAATAAGACAAAGTGCTTGTTCTCATCCTTGTGGATGAGATCCAACTGATAGAGGCCCTAATGTCTTTACACTGGGCCTAAGCTTGGGATGCAATGTCCTTCCTCCTTAACCTATTTATGTGAGGTCCCTTTTGCTCGTTATCTGGCCATGAACAAACTGAGGAAGATGAAACGCTACCATGTTGGAAAGGTGTGGCGGCGGGAGAGCCCAACCATTGTCCAAGGCCGCTATAGGGAGTTCTGCCAGTGTGTAAGTGGCCTGAAGGAGGCAGCATGATTTGATAGTTCGGGGGGCCACAACCTGGGAACTGGCTACTCAGTGAAGATTTTGTTTTCCCTATCTTTTTCTTTGCTGTAGGATTTTGACATTGCTGGTCAATTTGACCCTATGATCCCTGATGCAGAGTGTTTGAAGATCATCTGTGAAATCCTAAGTGGGTTGCAGCTAGGGGACTTCCTCATCAAGGTGAGGCCAAGGCTGAGGACTGAGGGGAGAAGTCTGGATTTAGCCTGATGCTGCCCCACAACATAGGTGACCCCAGCCTTTAAGCCTGCAGCTCTAGGACTCTCTTAGTACAGCTGTTGCATTTCATATATATCTATATAAACATCCTGTGAAATTTCCTTTTTATTTCTTTTATGAGTCAGTAGAGTAGGGACTGCCATTGTTTTGAGGGAAAGGGCATTGACAAGGCCCTTGGGTTACTTCCACTGAGTTCATAGGTCAATGACCGGCGGATTTTGGATGGGCTATTTGCTGTCTGTGGTGTTCCTGAAAGCAAGTTCCATGGCATCTGCTCCTCGATAGACAAACTAGACAAGGTAACCAAGAAGACATGCTTCAGTAGACCCTATCAGAGTATCTGTCCTGCCCTCAAATCTATACCCCTAGAGAAAAATAAGGAGATATTGGCTGGAAGTGAGCTATTTCTGGGAGGAAAGTAAAGAGACATTCTGAAGCAAGCATAAGTTTTGCTATGCAGTGGGGATGGTGGCTGGATTTTCTAAGCTGTCTCTGACTTTGCTGAGTATAGCCTTAGGTACTCATGACACACATACTGAATGAAAGTGAGATGTCCTTTCTCAGTTAGAGAAAGAAGGATCTTGAGGCTGGACTAATGTTTGGGTGTTTGTGCAGATTTCTTGGAAAGATGTGAGACATGAGATGGTGGCAAAGAAAGGCCTGGCTCCTGAAGTGGCTGATCAAATTGGGGACTATGTCCAATGTCATGGTAAGAACCAGGGTTTCAGAGCTATATGATAGAACAAAAGCGAGGGTGATATGTATACAACTTCTACCTTGGAAGCAGTTTCTTTCTGTAGATGTGCTAAGCTCCAGAGCCTGGCCTGAATTTAATTTCCCTTTTACTTATTGTAACTACTTATGTCTTTGGATAGCAAAGGCAGAGGAAAAGGAGGAGAGTCTGGTCATATGAGATCAGGATTTTTTTTTAGAAAAGGAGGAGGACTAGCTGGAGCACATTAGAGATAAATCTGGATAAAACACATCTGGGTAAATATTGGGTCGTCGGGAAAGTCATGATGTATTTTTCTGTTTTTCAATGCAAAAATGCGTTATGACTTTCCCGACGACCCAATAGCACAGACCTTATTTCTCCCTACATGTCTCCCCAGGTGGGGTGTCCTTGGTAGAGCAAATGTTGCAAGATCCCAGACTTTCTCAGAACAAACAGGCCCTAGAAGGTCTGGGGGACCTGAAGCTGCTCTTTGAATACCTGACTTTATTTGGAATTGCCGAGAAGGTAACGCTGGGTTGGGAGTGGACCTCCTGCTGACCTCTGGGGCTCTCAGGGTCCTGAGTTTTGTCTGGGACTTACTATACCCTTATTCCCACAGATCTCCTTTGATCTAAGCCTGGCTCGGGGTCTGGATTATTATACAGGAGTGATCTATGAAGCAGTGCTGCTACAGACCCCAGCACAGGCTGAGGAGGAGCCCTTGAATGTGGGCAGTGTGGCTGCTGGTGGGCGCTACGATGGGCTAGTGGGCATGTTTGACCCCAGTGGCCACAAGGTGCCATGTGTGGGGCTCAGCATTGGGGTGGAGCGAATCTTCTCCATTGTGGAGCAGAGAATGAAGGTAGGTCCTAGGTAGGGGTGGAGTGGGGCTGGAGGCCTGAAAACTAGCATGTTTCTAGAGGTGCAGTGGGACTATTTTTCTGATGATTCTTTTTGTTCTTTTGGAGTTACTGGTGCAAAGGAAATTTTTATGAGTTTTGCTTTCCTTTCTCTCTTTTATCAGGCGTTTGGTGAAAAGATACGGACCACAGAGACCCAAGTGTTTGTGGCCACTCCACAGAAGAACTTTCTCCAAGAACGGTTGAAGCTAATTGCAGAGCTTTGGGATGCTGGGATCAAGGTATGATGGAGCTAAAATCCAAGCCATCTAAGCATAGATGTGGAATTCAGGCACCAGGCCCATTGTACTTTATGCCTAGGGTGGAACTCAAGATCTTTCTGGTCTTCACTAGAGTTATCTTCTAAGGGTAGGAGGGCTAGCTACTTATTTCTTGGGAAATGCTTGCTCCTGGGGCTTGAGTGGTGTGGTCCCTTACAAAATCCCTACTTTACTTTCATCTTTTTCAGGCAGAGCTGCTATATAAGAACAACCCTAAACTACTAACCCAACTGCACTACTGTGAGAACATGGGCATTCCACTGGTGGTCATTATTGGTGAGCAAGAACTGATGGAAGGGGTCATCACACTCCGTACAGTGGCCAGCAGGGAGGAGGTGAGTGGGGCAGGCAGGCATAGAAGGGACCGAGTGTTTTTAGATTCCTTTTTTTTTTTTTTTAAAGATTTTTATTGGGGAATTGGGGGATGGGAACAGCGCTGGGGAATTGGGGGAAGGGGAACAGACAAGTTGCTGTCCTTTTGTTCTTCAGTCTAGTTGTGGAGGACGTTGCTTCACTGACCCAAGCTGGCACCATCATTGCGCTCTTCCTGGGCGAGGCAGATCAGTCGCCGGCTTCTGGACAGCCGCTCACGCTGGCTACACACTGTAGCCCATGGCAACCCACTGCAGCAGGGGTTGCAGCCTACGCTGTTGCCAGCGACTCACGGCAGCCCAGCTCTAAGTTGAGCTGTTGTTCAGCATCTTAGCTGTGGAGGGCAGTGTCACTGGCCCTTATATGTGGGATCCGAACCGGGGCCCTCTGGCGTCCCAAGCCAGCTCTTAACCAGTGCGCCACTCGGCCAGCCCCCTTTTTAGATTCTTTAAGAAATATGTTTCAGGCTGAGGATATCTCCAGGTTTAATAGTGATAGAGATAAATGAAGATCCATCCCAGGCAACCATTATAGCCAATGATATTGGCTCGGTGGGCAGAAGAAGGGAAAATGAAATCTCAATGGATATTTTGAGACTAATCAACAAACTAGACATAGGTTGGGCATTTGAATCCCTTTAGTCTTGAGGGCATACATTCTCTGGGGCAGTTTGAAGCCCATACTATTTCCTACTGGTTGTATAAGCAGTGGGAGCAGATACAGAGTAAAATAAATTTGGAAATGCAGTGGCTAAGGAGCTGGTATCACTCTCCTAGTTTTTCACGTGAGGGTTCTCTTATGTTTCAGGTGGCCATTAAACGGGAAAATCTTGTGGCTGAAATTCAGAAGCGACTATCCGAGTCTTAATTCTTGCCTGATTGCTGTCTGCTGCTCTTTGTAGAAAATGTTTCATCCAGGACTGACTTCCTGATGGACTTCACAACTGCTGGCCAGGATGGGTGACAAGTGCCTCTGCCTCCTCCATCCTTCCTGGGTACAGAACTCTAGAAGGCCCTGAGGACTCCTGGGCCATTGTGAGCAGCTCTTCTGCTTGGGCGCAGATGGCTAGTATGTGAAAGAGACATGCTGTAATGGCAGAGTCAGATGGCAGATTTGAAGTGCCATTGAATGCTGCCAAGAAGTGATGAGATGTTTGCCGTGAGCAAGGCTCTGGGAAAGACGCCTCAGGCTGAAAGGATTCTGAACCACTGAGATCAGAAGTCAGATACTTAACCTTTCACTGTACTGTGGCTTCTGAACTAGATTCTGGGGAATTTGTCCACAACCTGCTGTTGGCCTGTCTGAGTTTTTGGGAGACAGCAAGCAGGGACAATGGCTGCTTTCTGTTTTTTATGAGGACAGAGGTGCTATCCCAAGGGCATAGCAGTACCCATATTGATGTGGCATCTCTCTAGCCCATCCACAGTTAACAACAGCAGGGTGAGGCTGCCTGTTTAATAATCTTGAATGTTGAACTTAATAGGTGACCTGACCGGATGTTCTGATCTTTTGACATTTTGGAGACTGTTTCTTGTGACAGAATCACTGTTCTGACTATTCCATGTCCTGCCATGGAGGTGACTGCTCTAGAAGTGGTTGGATAAATAAATAAAATATTTAAAGTGGTAGTTTTGGTAATTTGTTATCAAGGGGTTGGTTTGCATAGGACATAGAAAACTCTTGAGTGTACACTGGAGAATTCTAACCTTGAGCTAGGAGTAACCTCCCTGGGTTGCTGTTTCTGTATTCAGTTAAAGGAGCAGTCACAGTTCTCCCCTGCGCCCCAACCTCCCCCTATGTAGCCCTTGGAGATACAATCATGTCGCTAAATCAACATATAGTGAGCCATCTGACAGAGTTCTTTATCCTAGAGTGTTGCTGATAACTGGCCTTCTCAAGACCAATCATGTTAATTAAATTGTGCCCTATAGATTGAATGACTATAATAATCCTCTTTTGAAGGAACAGTTAACCATAGGGTGATATCATTGCTTCAAGATAAAAAAAATGCAAAAAGCTTTCCATGTGTACTTTGGGAAGGCTGCAGCTTTTGCAAACACTTCGGTGTTTGCGAGGGTGGGGGGGTGGGGGTGCTTTAGTGCATACAGATAAGTGGGACATTTGGAGCCTCTAATAACAGTGCTTCAGCCTTATTAAAGGTTTAGAAACTCTTGGAAATGTACTCATATTTGATTAGATTAAAGGGCACTGATCCTTAGTTTCCTCGTTTGTAAAAATAGAGTTGAACTGCCCTTGGATGCTTTTAAACGCCAGTCTAAAAGAGCGTTTGCGTGCGCCCTTACTTCCGTGTTGCTTCATACTCTCCTTGCGCATGCGCCATTTTGTTGGAGCAGAGGCGGGGCCGACAAGCCTGTTTAGGAGCCATCTAGGTTTTAGCTCATTTAGAACACGAGACTCTAAGCTTATTGGAAGGCAAGCTTGCTTTACGGCTTAAGGTCGTTTTTTACGACATTTTCCGGCTTCCCATTCACTTCGCGGTGAAGATGGCGTCGGGGAGTGGGGTAAGTGTTGTGTATGAGGAGGTTTGAGGGGGTTGGTTTCTCAGCGTGGAATAGTCTGCACCTGACTGGCTTCCCAACACCTCCCTGAGATTCTATGGCCCGGGTGCTAGGACTCCCCCGTAAGGCCCTGGCTCAGGGTCAGTGGAATCGCGGAGGTTTCTCGAGTTGGGGTCCTGATGCCACCTTAGCCTTCTGGTGCAGTCCGAAGAGGTTTCGCTCTCGACAGGTCCCGGGGCCGTCTTGGCAGCGATGACGCGCTTTCTCTAGGACTCAGACACGATTAGCGATTAACCTTGAGGGCTTTTTTTCCCCCTACAGACAAAAAACTTGGACTTTCGCCGAAAGTGGGACAAAGATGAATATGAGAAGCTCGCCGAGAAGAGGCTCACGGAAGAGAGAGAAAAGAAGGATGGTGGGTGCCTGCTCCATTAAGGGCTAAGGGCATCCTAGAGGCGATGCAGTGGCTGGAGAGCGGGTGGGGAGTTGAAATGCGCTGTGCTACCCTGTGTAACCTGGCAGAGCGCTGCCCCCCTTGTCCTCGATTTCTTCATGTATAAAATGAGAGCGAGGAGATGGACTGAAGTGGTGTTGAGGTGTTTTCCATCTCTGTTGTCCTCTGCTTTCTTGCTCTCCCTTTGTTTGGCTCATTTAGTACTTTCCTGAAGTACAGGGAAGAGTGGAATCTTTAGTAGTGACGGAGAAGTTTGCAGAGTATTTTGCTGCTGTGCATTACTGCTGTTGAAGACTCTCTCTTTCCCTTGAAATTACTTAATGGTGAGAAGAACATTTCTGGCTCAATCAAAACCTTTTCCTATCATTGGAGAAGAGCAAGGGTATCAGCCAAGGAAGGTGTGATTGTTTCCGTTAGTGCTTAGTGCTGCTGTTCTCTGTGTCTTGTACAATGTCAGGAACTTGGGGCCTCTCTTAGAGGTTCCACTATACAAAAAGAAATGTCTGATTTTCTCATCTGTTTTCAAACTTGTACATTCTTCCACTTCCACACCATCTTGCACACACTAACCCTTTTATATTTTGGGGGGTTTTTTTGTTTGTTTTTAAAAAAATTTTATTGGGGAATTGGAGGAGGGGAACAGCACTGAGGAATTGGGGGAAGGGAAACAGACAAGTTCCTGTCCTTTTTTGTTCTTCAGTCTAGTTGTGGAGGATGTTGCTTCACTGGCCCAGGTTGGCACCATCATTGCGCTCTTCCCGGGCAAGGCAGATCAGTCTCCGGCTTCTGCACGGCCGCTCACAGCGGCTGCTGGCCGCTCACGCTGGCTGCTGGCCACTCACGGTAGCCCATGGCAACCCACTGCAGTCTACGCCGTCGCCGGCGACTCATGGCAGCCCAGCTCCAGGTTGAGCTGTTGTTCAGCATCTTAGCTGTAGAGGGCAGTGTCACTGGCCCTCATATGTGGGACCCGAACTGGAGCCCTTTGGGGTCCCAAGCCAGCTCTTAACCAATGTGCCACTCGGCCGGCCCCTAACCCTTTTCGTTTTTATGTAACTTGTAAAATAGTGTTTGGCATGTAACAGGTAATTCCTAAATGTTGGTCCCCTTTTTAAAAATTTCCCCAGCTCTCAGAAGAATCCTTTCTGTGTTATGCTTGGGGTATCTGAAAGCATGAGTGCCCTTGCTCTTTTAAAAGGTTGCTTTTTGTGAAAATTCAGAGCACCTCCCTTCAATTCAGTTAATCAATGAATAGAAACATTGCAAACAAAACTTGTTGGCTTTAAAGTGGAGAACAGCTATGGTGAGTTAAGGATTGCTTATCATTTTTCCTGTTCAAATTCTCCCTAGCTGCTGCTAGAAGTGGCTGTTATATCCCTTCAAGTTTCAAAAACAATGAGAGTAAACCTCTGGATTTTGGGTTTCATGCATGCCTTTTTCCTCCCTGGTTAAGAAAATACAATATTGAAGGGTCTTCCTTTCCCATTATATTTCAGGAAAACCAGTGCAGCCAGTCAAGCGGGAGCTTCTCCGGCATAGAGACTACAAGGTGGACTTGGAATCCAAGCTTGGGAAGACAATTGTCATTACCAAGACCACCCCACAATCTGAGATGGGAGGGTAAGTGGCTTTTCATTTTTCTCTGTAGCCAGGAGTGGGTCTAATAAGTTATGTTCGTTTTAGGGAGTGTTGAGCAGGGTTCGTGGCCCCAGGTTAACAACCTTTTTGCCTGTAATTTCATCCTTAGGTTTATTTTTCTTTGTCCCCCAAGGTCTCAGGTTAATGTAATAATATCTCTAGGAGGGGTCCCTCTGTAGGCTTATTCATATTAGTACTGTAACTACTTCTTAGTATCTTAAAAGGGGTAATTGTTCTCCTGCTAGAGGAACAAATGAAGGAAAGGACAACTAGGAGATTTCTAGAGGAGAAATTAGGTGGAGCTAGAATGGAGCTAGGATCTATTGAAGGGGATTGAGGTTCCAGACTGGCTGTAAAGGTGGTAGTTGTTATGGATTGCCTGGTTGTCCACCTCCTTCTTAGACTAAGACTATAACCTATAGGAAGAAGGACCCCACAAGAATTCTTCATCCTTTTGTCTACTACTACTCTGCCAGTTAGGTTTTCCAGCAGGAGAGCAACACAGATAGCAGTGACACTTCGCAGAGCTATTTAGTAAACCCAGTCTTGTCATTCCTCTCTATATTAGTAATCTACTGCTATGTAAATTAACAACTTAACCCAAAGTTTAACAGCATAGAACAACAAATAGCTCACAATTTCTATGGGTAAGGAACCTGGGAAAGGCTTACCTGGGTGGTTCTGGCTCAGGGTTTCTCCCAAAGCTGCACTCAAGGTGCCTGCTGGGTCTGTGTTCATCTGAGGAATAAGGGGGGCTGGAGGATCTGCTTCCAACATCTGTCACGCGGCTAGGGCCTCTCCATAGTTTTCACAACAAAGCAAGTGGCTTCCCTTAGAGCAGATGATCCACCTGGACAGACTAAGACAGAAGCTGTGGTTTTTTATAACTTCATCTTAGAAGTAAAAAAAGTATCACTTTTGACATATTTTATTGGTCACACACCAACCCTGTTACAAATTGGGAGGAGGGTAGAAATACCAGGAGGGTAGGGATGATTGTAGGGTCATCTTGGACGTTCGCTACCACATTCTTCCAAGAGCTAAGGCTTTATAGAAGTGAGAAGCGCCTCCTTCTAAAAATAATTTTTACCTAAAAATATGAGTTTCTTGGTTGAAAACAATAAGATTTATACAACAAGATTTGACTCAAGTGCTGTTTCTTTCTGTTTGCTAGATATTACTGCAATGTCTGTGACTGTGTTGTGAAGGACTCCATCAACTTCCTGGATCACATTAATGGAAAGAAACGTAAGGCTTGGAGGTAGTTTGTGACTGGGGCTGGGATTGGGCTTTGGAGTGGGCAGTGGGGGGGAAGGGTGGGTCCTGTTGTGCCCTTTTTTTAATGCCTGAGGAATTCTCAGTTGCTTCAGCACAGGCCACCCTTTACTTCATTATCTAATGTTTCTATAGGCCATAAGGTGAGACACTGTTCTAGGCTCTCAATAAACCTAAACCATAGTCTTCTCCTGGGCTCAGCTGTCCACACTGACCTGCATCTGCTCAGTAGCGGCAGTCGAAAGCCATCTTCATCCTGTTGTCTGGGGCTGCTGCTTCTGGCAACAAGTAAAGCTAAGGGTCTTGTTTTCAGCTATAATTATTTTTGCTGCATGTTTTATGAGAAGGTATTTTTTGAAAATATCAGGAAAAGACTTTTTTTTTTTTTAATTTTTTATTGTTAGTTTCAGGTGTACAGAACAATGCAATAGTTGTCCTTTTCACCCTCACAAAGTAACAATTCCCCTCCCCCCATGTACTGCCCTCCCACCCCTGATATCATGCTTATCTATTACAATTCCATTGATTCTAATCCCACTCTCTACTCCATGTCCCGTGACTATATGTATATATAATTATAGTTGACATACAATATTATTCAACATCAGCTTCAGAAATACAGTGCAGTGGTCAGGCCTCTACACCGACTATGAAGTGGTCTCCCCAAAGGAAAAGACTTTTTGAGGGGCTGAGGATGTTGTAATGACCTTACCTTCTTCACTGTTGACCCCTCCTAGATCAGCGAAACCTGGGCATGTCTATGCGTGTGGAACGTTCCACCTTGGATCAGGTGAAGAAACGGTTTGAAGTCAATAAAAAGAAGATGGAAGAGAAGCAGAAGGATTATGATTTTGAGGAAAGGATGAAGGAGCTCAGAGAAGAGGTAAGGCTCTGCTGTCTTCCCGTCTCCCTCCCCAGCTTGGAATTTTATGTTTCGAATCATGAGGAGGCTGTCTTCCTCATTGCACTGCCACCTCCAGAGGACACTTGTATCTCCTGAATTTCTGTATATTAGCGGAAGCATTTATTGCCCTTGTTTGGAACTCGCATGAGCTGAAGGAAGTGGCTCTAAGTCTACCCTTTATTCCTGGATTCTCTGGGCCATACTTTTTTTTACCACAGGAGGGATTAACTAAATGCACCTAGTCCCCAAGAGGCCCGTGGAACCAGGCTGGCTGGATCAGAATTCTGTTTCCTCCACTTACTGGCTGTGAATCTTGGGCAAGTTATATAACCTATGTGTGCCTCAGGTTCTCCATGTTAGAGATCTTAGTATATGATATACATAAAGCAAGCACTGAGACCAGCTCCTGGCGTGGACTACATTCTCCAGAATGCTAGTTGCTATTAAATGGTTTTGCTCCCATAAACCTGTTAAGTAAGAACTAGAGTTGAACTGGAAAGTAGGGTTGAGAAATACTCTCCACAGACTAAATTTCTCTTTCTTGTCCCTTAGAATCTTTACTGTGGCTTTTCCTTTGCTCTTGAAATTTTACTTGTCTTTAACTATTTTCTCCTAAAGATAGGAAGGAATCTTGAAGCTCATCTGTCTCTTTCAACAATGTTTGGCTCAGGAGCCTGAACTGATTCTGAGTGATTTTCCCCCCTAGGAGGAAAAGGCCAAAGCCTACAAGAAAGAGAAACAGAAGGAGAAGAAAAGGAGGGCTGAGGAGGATTTGACATTTGAGGAGGATGATGAAATGGCAGCTGTGATGGGCTTCTCTGGCTTTGGTTCCACAAAGAAGAGTTACTGAGGCTTTTTATGCTTGGCCCTTTGCTGGGCTTAACTTTGTGTGATGGGGGGGGTCATTTTTCAGGGTGTACTTCGGAAAGTCCTTAAGCGTAGCAATGGGGAGGGCTAGAGGGTGGATGTTTGTGGTTTCCCTCTACCTTGGGAGAGCACAGGAGGCAGAGGTAATGCTTTGGCATATTCCTTTAGCCTCGCTTTATCACTGGAGTCACAGGCCCTCTGCCCGTTGGAGTTCCCAATAAAGAAAAACCTCCTCTTCTGAGGCTGCTTTCCCGAAACTTCCCCTGCATCTTTCCCTCTTCATCTATCCAATCTCTTCTCTGAGCATCCTACATTTATCCTGTGTTCTGCCTTTGTTTTAATTTAGACTCTTGCTTAGCCTGCAGTGGAAGGGTTCTTTGGGTCCCCAGTTGATACCATATCCTTGACCAGCCCCCCCCACCCCTTTCCTTCATCCCCCACTGTGGTTCTCTGGCCGCCTGTGCATGCATGTGTACTTCTGCCTGGGTCAGTGGTATGTGCGGATGTGTATGCATGAATCTGTCACTTAAGAGGGAACCTGAGCTAGAACCTCAGAGCATTGCTGCCTTGGGGCCTGATGTTCTCAGTTTCCTCAGTGCATGGAACAGGAAATTAAATGGGATGAGTGTTTGGTGTGGTTTTTGTCTGGTGAGTTTTTTAACCTTTTTAATTTTTTTTCCCATATGTAGACTTCAGCTTTCCCTGTTTGTTTTATTTTATTGAGGATTACTCTGTTTTTGTCTTCCTTATGAGCAGGCTCTTGGAAGAACCTGCTTGATGCAAAAAAGAAAACGGAAAAAAAACCTCATATGGGAGCCCTTTGGTCTCTGAGGCTGTTCAACATGTACAATAAATGGCATTGACTGGGCCTATTTCACATTTGGTGGGAACATTCCATATTCTTCCCTGTGTATTGTTTTTTCTTTCTACACTGAGGATTTCCATATAGAGTTTATTCTTTCTTCATTTGAGCCCTGTCACTTTTGTTTTCTAGGTTCCTTCAGCATGAGTTGTATTTTCCTCTGATGAGATCTGTGTCTGGAAGAGTCTGAACAAAACTTTTCCTTTAATTTTCGCCTCTTTTGATCTTGTTTTTGGAATAGCAGAGCCCAGGGTTGAACTTAGTGTTTTCCATTACTACTGCATTTAGGTGAGGCACAGGGTTACTCCCCCTTGGCACTGTTGGCATTAGGGGCTGTATAATTCTTTGTTGTGGGAGCTCCCTTGTGCATTGTAGGATGTTGAGCAGTATCCCTAGCCTCTACTCACTAGATGCCAGTAGCTCCCCTTCCCCAAATTAAAGACAACTAAAGATGTCTATGTCTCTGGGAGGTATGTGTGTTTGTGGGGCGGTCGGGGCAGGGGGAGGAATCCTTCCTCCCAGCCCCATTAAGAACCATTGAGAAGCTGCCTTCCCTACTTTACTTGAGAATTAAGTGGCACAGACTGGTTAACTAAAGGAAAAACAACTTTGATATTCCCTGGACTATCAGGGAATAGTCCTGTGCCAGGTCCCATGGATGCAGAGGAAAAAAACCAGTCCTTTAAATTAAGAAAACAAAAGTTATACAAACTTCAAGCAGGTAAATTCTGTAATAACTTAAGCTAGTTCTAGACCCTGAAAAGCAGGCTCTGTTTGGGTTAAGCCTGCCACCATGTGGCTTATTTACATTCTCAGCCTCATCTAGTTTCCTCAGACATCTTTATGTAGCATCTAAACCACTTTTAAGTCCTCCAAAGTACCATACTCTCCTTTGGACTTTTGTACAAAATTCCTTTGCTTTCCGGCATGCCTTTTGCCTGTTTTATTTCTGATGCTGAATCTTGCCACTGGCAACACTGTGAATATGTTTGTCTACTGGCTCAAGGCCTGGCTCAAAGTGTCACATAAAGTATTTGTTGCCCAACTGTGGGCTAATTAATGGGTGCTTTCCTTGTCATGATTATGTGCTCTGCATGTCCTTGGGTAAGAACCTACCCTACTCAACTGGGTCTTTTTGCTCCCCCGTTCAAGGCAGGCTGGAGGAAATATCAGTGAGCTGGTCCTTCCCTGATTCAGCATTCATTCTTCAGGAAACTAATTCAATTTGGCTTCAGGTGATTGCCTCACTCTTTGGTACAGTGGAATCTTACCTCTGGCCACGTCTACTAAAAAGGAATTCTAAATTCCAGGTTCTCTAAGTTCTCTGGGAACTGGCAAGTGGTTTGAGCCTTCAAGGGGCCTGTCTAGGTCAACATAGTGAGTTGGAAAAGGGGAGGAAGAAGATAGGATGGAAATTTAGGAGCCCAGAGCAACCCCAGAGAACCCAGAAATCTCTGTAAGAGAAACTTCTTTGATGTTTGGGAGCTTTCCAAAATCGATGGACATTTTGCATTCTGGTCGAGGAATATGCCTGTGACTGGCCCACGTGTGTTCATCTATTCAGGTGCCGAGATGCTGAGCATGTTCTAGGCCCTTGTAGTATCTTCTGGGGCAAGGCATCAAGGCCCCAACTGTTGTGGCATTTACTTTCTGATGGGATTGCCATTTAAGGTATTTGGGTAATAGATCATTATGGCTTCAGATGATTCTGTAGCTTCAGCACCTCCAGGGGTGCTTGCATCTCCCATAATCCCCTCCAGAAATTTTAAATGTGAAATCTTTAATCCAGCAGTTCTATTCATAAGTATCCTAAAAACGTTCTTGCTTATGTGTACATTTACATAGAATGATGTTTCCTGCAGCTTTATTTTTATAACAATGAAACATTTAAAACTGGTGTATTTGTACTTACTTGAATATAATGCAGCCATTACAATATATATGAATTTGTTCTATATGTATTGACAAGAAAGATCTCCAAGACATACTGTTAAGTAAGCAAACACAAAAACAATACCCAACAAGCTGATCCCCATAAGCTCCCCATCATAAAACTATATTGTATGTACAGTTAACTATATAGATTGGGAAAAAGGACTGAAGGGATACACACAAATCCTTAGAGTGGTTTAACTGGAGAAAAGTGGTTAATTGGAGAATACTTACAGAATACCTAAAAGGAAGAGGGTGTTCATGGGTTTAAAATAATATTTTAAAATAGTAACAAGTAATAACCACTAGTATATAACACCTGGGAGAGGAGCTGTAGGGTTTATCTGGTTTAGCTGCAAAGTTCGAAACAAGTCCTGAAATAGAACTTGTAGCTTGTAAAGATTCCACAGTCCTGACTCAGGCACTGTTTGAAAATTGATTTGATCACAGACACCCTGTATGGTTGGGGGGTGGCCAGAGGCTGGAAGGGGCCTCCATTGATTTGTGATAGACCATGGGAGCTGCGTGGTGGAAGAGAATAAGCCCGCAAGCAACTACTGAAGCCCTCGCTGGGAGGTTAGGGGAGACCTGAATCCTGAATGAGCACTCCAAATGTCTGGCTGGGGCGGGGGAGTGGGCGGATCAGACAGTTTTTCAGAATGTAAATTGTTCTGGGCCACTCCCACTTTCGTCGATTTATTGTGACGCAAGTCTTTCTCACCAGCCAAGAAGATTTAATCTAGCGGGCGTACACGGACTGGCTATAGTTCAGCGGTTCCTTCGTTTCAAGACTATTAACCACCCTCTCGAGGGCAGTTCGAGACCCGCGGGCGCTCTCCGGTCCTTTTGCCACTGTCCCAGCTTTATTTTCCGAGTAATCAGCTTTGATGCTGTTTTGAGATTCCTCCACTACCTGGGGCACCAAAGTGATCGTGTTTCCAGCCGATTTTCAGCTCCCGTTCGACCAGGAACCAGGGCGCTTTGGAGAAAGCTGATGTTAAGACTCGGGTAGGAAATATAGACATGACCGCCAGAGCATCTTGTAGTCCCAGAAAGTAAGGAAGTGATAAAAACAACAACAAAAACTTACTGTAAAAAATACTTTTGGTGTTTAGTAGTGTTCGTGGTTTTGTTCCAATAGTTACTGTACCTTGTGTCTTTTCTAATGTCCTCAAATTCTTTTTCCTTATTTCGTTTGACAGCTGTATCTTGACTCCCTCCTATTAGTTATATAACAATCAGTTTATTCTATTTTCCCCTTTCTTGCCTCACTTCTATTTTTTTTTTAGTCATGTTGTTTTTAGAAAACAAAATTTCCATATTATTTTTCGACCCTTCTCATTACCTTTTAGTTGGAGGTCTACACCTTAATATATTTAATGCTCACCATCACAGTGCTTTCTGTGTTTCCCCCTTTTCCCCAGTTCTTAGTTGGATGAGCTCATTCTCGAGTAAATTAATCAAGAGAGGCTCCTGGACACACTATTTTGAGTCCTTGAATATTTATTTACTTATTTAACTCCCCCACCATCCTTAATATCTAATCAAGTTAGATAATTTCACATCCATTAACCATCACACTCTGCTCTTGGTTGTTTTTAGCACAATTCTGGGACGGAGTTTTAAAAAATCAATTTATTTTCTATTTCACCCATCCCCCCCCACCTCTCTCCCCATTTGCAACCATCAGTTTATTCTCTATAACTATGCGTCTGTTTCTGTTATATTTACTCATTTGTTTTGTTTTTAGATTCCACATATAAGTGAAATCATATGGCACTTGTCTTTCTCTGGCTGACTTATTTCACTTAGTATAATGCCCTTTAGGTCCAT